CCTGCCTCAGCCTCCCGAGTAGCTGGGACTACAGGCGCCCGCCACCACGCCCGGCTAATTTTTTGTATTTTTTAGTAGAGACGGGGTTTCACCGTGTTAGGCAGGATGGTCTCGATCTCCTGACCTCGTGATCGGCCCGTCTCGGCCTCCCAAAGTGCTGGGATTACAGGCTTGAGCCACCGCGCCCGGCTTTTATTTCATTCTTTTCCAGCAGAGAAACTCTGCTGATTATTACTCTTTTATTACACCGTGTAATTTCCAATCTCAAAGTATCACACATCATCTTCTAATTATAATTGAACTTTTAAATAAATTTTATTCAAGTATTTTTCTACATTTCTTTATTACACATCAATTTCACTGATATTTTCAAGACATTATTTGTATGGTCTCTTCTTAGTAGTTTATATCTCAGTATACACCTCATTTTTCATTGACTGTTATTTTATGTGCTTTATACTTACTACTTCACGCATTTTTTTACTTGTCAACCCTGAAAAGTACTAATTATTCTATAGGAATACCTCTTTGTCTACTTTGAAAGCCATAGTATTTAAAATAATACTGTACCGAGTTGAAAAGTCACCAGATCAGAAGTGCAACTCTTTTAAAATTTGTTCTCCATAATGGAAATAACCGTATGATAAAATAATGAATGCTTATTTTAAAAGACTTGCTTATAACAGAAAGTTACCAAGAAGAAAATGAAAACAGCTCAGTCTCATCATATAGAGAAAATCCATGTTAACATTTTGGTACATGTTTTTCAATAAACATAGTTGTGTACACACACATGCTCACACAAAAACTGAGGTAACACTAAATACTATTAGTTAACTTGCATTTTCACTGAGATTCTGTAATGGGCAACTGGCCATCTAATAGAGATATACACAATCATTTGTAGCTCTTGTAGAGTATTCTATATGGCATGATTTAATCAGACATTTATTGATGAATATTTTATTTCTAATTCCCAGTATTATAAAAGATACTATGATAGGCATCTTAGCTATTTGTGCACTTACAGCGTTACCTTAAAATAAATTTCTAAATATAGAAATGTTGTCTCAGTGACTTGTTTTATAAAATTTTAATGAATATTGTCAAACTGTCCTCCAAAAAGATTACTGTGTTGGTTGTACTCTCACTGGTAGGGTGTGACATGACTATTTTCCCATATTTTCTAGTTCTTTAACTTTAGCCAGTTTGGTTGACAATAAATTATTATCATTATAGCTGGCTTTTTACCATTATTTGTGAAATAGACACTATTGACTATTTTTTGTCACTACCTTTTGAGCTAATATTTTAAATACACCATATAGCTAAAGAGTTTCCTCCCAGCAAATATTATTAATTCACTTGCCTGTAGGTCTAGTTATCAACTTATTCACAAGCAAAGTAATCCAGGTCACCTCCCATCTTTATTTCTCGGGAATGTGCCATTGGTAAGGAAGAAAAGTGAATCACGGGCCAGCTGCTTTATCTTCTTCCTCCTCCATCATCCTTCTATGTTTAGAGTTTATATCTCAAACACAGTAGCTCTTCTCTAACATCTAGACAGAAAAAAGAAAGAATTATTTTTTTCTTTTTTTCCCTTTTAGCTCTGCTCTCAAGAAGTCTTGTTTCAAAATGAAAAGGGGAACTAATAGTGGAGGCATTTCTTTTCTCTCATGACTTGCTCATGTCCTTAAGTGCTCTTTCAGTTCAAGGGATTCTAATCAGTGTTTTTCCAAACTTTTTCCAATTGCTTTCCTCAACACTACTCTACTCTTTGGGAAGAATAGAAGTGGGATTTCTTACTTTATTTTTGTTTTAATTTGTTTCCGTTGCTGGCCTGTGGCTGTTTCTGGAAGTTAATCATTAAAGTCTACAGTATGAGGCCGGGACATCCTGTAGTCTTAGTTTATAAAAAAATGTTTTTCCCATCTCTATTTCCCTTGATTCTCCTACATTTTTTTCCCCTTGTGATGTTCAGTTTGGAGACAGGAGTGATATGTGGGAGGGTGGAGAGACTAGTGATCCTGGATTTACACTGCTTTATTTCCCAGATATCTTCATCAGTTTTAAATATCTCTGAATAGTAATTTTAATTTAGTAGTGCTTCAGAAATATCTTAAACATCTGGAAGCAAATTACCACACAGATATAAATTTGTGAAGAAAATTGTCTCCTCCAGATGTCATTATGAGTTATTTATTTCCCATTTCTCATAATGTGTAAATATTATTTTCAGTGGCTATAATACTTTATATATCTGTGTGTTATACCTTTATATATGTGTTTATATAATGTACAATGAATGTTTGTATTTATAATTTTTATTTAAAAGAATGAGTTGCTTTAACAAACCTTCTGAATCATAAGATCCCTTCATTTCAAGAGATTGTTGAAGAAGACTATGTATCCAGTCACTTAATAAACTACCGATATTTAATACTTGTACATTATTTAAACCTTAATCTATTGATTGTATAGGTAAATATTAAAGCATATATGCCTCACAGATGATGAGTTCTACATCTTGGGAGAAGATATGGTAATTTGTAAACTTGCTTGTATTAATTATGCACATTGTGTTTATTTTTACAGACTCACTGGAAGAATGTGAAGTGCAGACTAATCTGAAAATTTGGAGAGAACCACTTAATATTGAAATTAAAGAAGATATTCTATCCTATATGGAAAAATTATGGCTTAAAAAACACAGGAGGTATTTTCTGGAATTGTAATACTATTAGGAAATATGAAAGTTATTTATGTTTCTTTCTTGTATGACATGCCTTCCTATAGCAATTTTATATGTATATTTTATCTTTGCATACATAATTTTAAAGCAAGATTAAATCCCTGTGAAGTTGCTGTTCCAATAAGAATTTTAATTCTATTTATGTATATGATGCATCATTAATTTAGATTTTTCCTTGATAAATGGAAATATGTATATGAGGAAAAGGCACAAATGCAGAAAATAATTTAAGAATAATAACAAAAATAATGTGGTAAATGAAAGATTACTTAGAGAAGACACCAGTTTTTTCCATTAGCATTAACATTTGAGACTATAATTTTCAGAATCTAGTTTTAAATTAATTAAACCTCTTCCTAATTGTATTAATAATAATTAAATATACTTTATTCAAAGAGATATCACCAGATACAATCATCTAGAAATTTTGGCAAAATACGGGTTATTTTTTCGTAGATCTGAAGTGAGGCCTGAGATTCTGTATTTCTGAATTTCTAATAGTTCCCAGGTGATAATGGTTGGATGAGGGTGGTCTTTTTTTGAGGTGCAAGGTGGTGGAGGAGCTCTCTAGAATTTGCTTGATAAGTGGTCATCACACCCTTCCTTCACCTTCAGTTATGCAAAACCATCTCCTGAGGTGGCCCATTCCATCTGTGAAAGAGATATTCATTGAACTGTAATCTGTTTCCAGCTCATTTCTAAACTTGCCTCTAATTCTACCTATTAAGCCCACACAGGTAAAATCTAATTTCTCTTCTCCATGGTATCTCTTCAGATTTTTTAAATCAACCCTCATGTTTTCCGTAAAGCATCTGCTAGATAGGTTAATACCTGCACCACCACTCACCTTCAACTGTTTTCAATGTGCTAGATTTTTTTATTTTGGATTATTTTGAAAAGAGGATATACAGATGGGTTTCAAAATAACACAAAGAATTCCTAAATAACATTCACTCAGCATTCTCTAATGGTAACATCTTACATAAACATAGTGTGTATCAAAACCAGAAAATTGACATAGGGACAACATTATTGACAACTGTACATTTTACTTTAATTTTATCATCAGTGTTTTCACTATTATCCTTACCACGTTCCAGGATCAAGTCCAGGATTACACATTTTTTTTTTTTTTTGTCATATCGCCTTATCCATTACAGTTCTTCAGTCTTTCCCTGCCTTTCATGACCTTAACACTTTTGAAGAGTACTTGCCAGTGTTTCATAGAATGTACTAAATTTGGGCCTGTCTGATGTTTTTTCATAATTAGATTGAGGTTATACACTGTGAGGAAAAATACCACGGAGAATATGTGTCCTTCTCAGTGCGTGACATTCTGGGATCATGATGTCAATATATCTTATTACAGATGATGTTAACCTTGATCACATAGTTAAGGTGGTGCTAAGTTTCTCCACTGTAAAATCACTACTTTCCCTTTATAATTGATAAATATTTTACAGGAGATATATTGAGATGATACATCAATGCTGTTTTCCCTTAAACTTTCACTTCCTAATTTTAGAATTTGTGAGTGAATTTTGCCTGCAGCAGTTAGTACTGTCCTGCTCTATTATTGCTGATATTCTATTTCATTTTTTCCTTCTAAATTTATTAGTTGGAATTCTTAAAAGAAGTGTTCCTTCACCCACTTTTATTTATTTATTCTTTATTTATGTGAACTCACGAATATTTATTTTATTTTGGGGATTGATTTCTAATATTATTGTTATTTATTTTGCAACTCAAATTATTTCTGCTTTGGCCATTGTGGACTCTCTCGGGTTGACTCTTCCATCCTTTTGACTTGTTGTCCTTTTTTTTTTTAGTTAGTTTGCTTTGAACATCTCTTTTTTTCCAGAACTCAAGATATATTTTCTCTTCCCCAGCCAAGGAATTGTTTTTCCAAAAAATACTGATTCCCTTTATTGGGGAATTGTGTTCAGAAACAAAGATCTGGACTCCAGGTGTGGTCATTACTATTCTGGTACTTCTAGGCCTTCTCAGAGGAAGAAACAAGGAAGTACACACACACACACATATACACACACAAATCCACATACACACATATAAATTTTTTTCTGTATCTATCCGTCTGGATATCTATTAAAGTAACATGCATTCACACTCAGGCATTCCGAATCCAAACCAGCATCACATGGTTCATTTCCATTCTCCCTTTGCTTATTTGACAAATTTCTTTCACCTACAGTGAGAAACTTGGCTTTCATTATCTATAATATATTTATTAATTAACCCTAAATATATATATATATGTATTTATACATACAGTAGTTTCAGAATCACTAATATCACTGAGAGAAATGAGGGACAATTAGTTTCAAAATTATTAATAATATCACTGAAATAAATGAATTTTCCACCTAGACTAGAGTGTTTTTGTGTCATGCTTTCTATCTGTAGCCTATGGTATCTAGGCCAAACCGTGTTTTGCAACATCACTTTGGCCACAGTGCTCATTTCTTTCTCACCTCCTTTAAGGTTGGTATGACTTTCATTGGGTTCTGCCCGTATCCTCATTGATTTTTAAAATTTAAATAAACTTGTGGTGTACAGTTCTATGGGTTTTTACCGCTGCATAAAGTAATGTGTCTACCGCAGTACCCCCGCCCCCGCAAAAACCAGTTTCACAACCACAAAAATTACCTTGAGCTTCCTCTTTCTCCTCTTCCCTTTCTTAGTCCATAACGGCTTTCATCTGTTGTCCACCCTTACAAATATGCCTTTTTTTGAAGGTCATATAAATGAAATCATACAGTGTCTGTCCTTTCATGTCCTTCACTTAGCAGAATGCATTTAAGATTCATTCATGTTCTTGTATGAATCAATATTTCTTCTGGCTGGTTTCCAGTTTTTGGCAATTATCGCTAGGTCCTTTAAAATATTTTTGTAACAGGTTTTTCTTGAATATAGGTTATTAATTCTCTGGGTAAATACCTGGGACTGTGATAGGTGGGCTATATAGTAAGTGCATGTTTATTTTTATAAGAAACTGCCAAACTCTTTTCTAAATTGACTGTCCGTTTTGCATTTGCTCCAGCAGTGTATGAGAGTTCCGGTTGCTCCAAATCCTTGTCAACACTTGGTGTTTTCAGTTTTTTTTTTCTTTTGGTTGACATTTTAATGAGGTGTGTAGTTGTATCTCATTGTAGTAGCTTACATGGCAGAGGTTTAAGCTAATTCATTTATAACTAATGTCCAGGCTGTATGTATTTTTTAAAGTATGATGCCCATCATAGCTCTTCAGGCTATTTTTCTTTGCAGGGGTACTGTGGTAGACATATGACTTTATGCATTGGTAAAAATCCACAGAACTTTACACCACAAATTTATTCAAATTTTCAAAGTCAATAAGGATATGTGTAACAGTAGTGTGTATCTGTTAATTGCCTTTTTCTAATTTAGCAATTAGTATATAAATGTAATTCCAGAGTCACTTGTCATTTCTGGTGGCTACCTTTCAATGTTGGGTCATTTTGGATTTCTTATATAGTAAAAGAAGCACAATTTTGCTATTAAGTGACAACTGTCATCTGAGCTTGAACACATACAAGAAAGTTTCATCACAGTCACATCAAGGTCCTGAGCTGTGCTCAATGCTGCGTCTTGGCCAGTTTCCTTAGCAGAAAAGAATACTTAGTGAATATTTTCATGTTCACTAGGGTCTTATTTACATGGTTATTTTTAATGGTAATCTTTTTTTTTGAGCTAATACTTTATGTCTTGATTATAAATGTCAATGTAGGGCAATCTATTTGCAATTCACAGGTTTCTGATGCATTTCTGATGTTTTGCTTCAGAAAAGTTTCTCATGTAAATAACCATGATCATGATTTTGACTTTACTTTTGCCTATTGCTGTGTTTTATATAGTAGGCTTATAAATATATGTTCTATTGCTTTTTTAATATTTTACTGATTTGGACAGCAAAAGTTTTTAAAAATTTTACCTGCAATCAATACAGAAGTATTGATAGACCTTTTATCCCCTAGCTTTATTGAGGTATAAATAACAAATAAAAATCATATATATTTAAGGTTTACAATGCAGTATTTTGATATATGCATACATTGCACAATAATACCTTAATTAAGCTAATATATTCATAATTTCAGTTTTTTGTGTGTGACACTTAAGACCTACTATTAGCTATAGTTATTATGCTGTACATTAGATATCCAGAATTCATTCATCCTGTGTAACTGGAACTTTATAACTTTTGCCCAACATGTTTCCATTTCTCCCAACCTCCAGCCCCTGGCAACCACCATTCTACTCTCTACTTTTGAGTTTGACTTTTATATCAGTGAGATCATGCAATATTTGTCTTTCTGTGTCTGGCCTATTTTACATAGCATAATGTTCTCTAAGATATGGCAACAACCTAAATATTCATCAATGGATGGATAGATTAAAAATATCATGTATGTATAATGGAATATTATTGGGTCTTAAAAAGAAGAAAATCCTACCATTTGTAACAACGTAAAAGTGTTGATAGATCTTAGTAGCAACACCTAGAGTGGATCTTTTAGATATGGGAAAGCTTAAAGAAGGAGTGCAGAAGTTTTGGATTAAGAATATTTTAAAGACAGATGTTAGCAACTAGCTGATATTCTGATTCCAGTTCCCTTACTCTTTTCATTGTGTGTACTTCTCAAGTCTAGCTAATCATCAGTAGCAGCTGGGGGAAGCTTTTACACTACTGATTCCTGGACACCAGAATGAACTAAAAATTAGTGTCTCTAAGAATAGGTGTGAGACCTAGCATAAAAAAAAAGTATTCCTTGGCCATTTGGATGGAAACAGCCTAACACTGATTCATATAATAGATTTAGAACCACTGATCACACATTTAACCAACTGAAAGGGTCAATGCTCAAAAAATATTTGCTAAATTCTAAAAGAGGAAACTATGGTGAAGTAAATGCTATCTGAAATGTATTTTATCATTTATTTATGTGACATCATCTTTAAAAAAAAAAAAAAAAAAAGCACTGGTGCCAGGGTTTGAATATCCAGAATCCAGGATTAGTTCTCTGGCTAACTAGTTGTTTATTTCTGGGAAAATATCACTTCAATTCTTGTGGCCCAAGTTTTCTCATTTGCAAAATATCGAGTTTAGAACAAACAATTTATATGACCCTGTAAACTCCAATAATTCATTATCTAGTTTCTATAAGTCTTTGGTTCAGGGATTTTATGAAGCAAAAAACTTCATAAAGAAAGAATATCTAAATAACAGTATATTTATGTATATGTATGATGAATTTTAGTTTGGTAGATCCATGTCAAATTGGAAAGAGGTTTCTTGTAGATGGATGCTAGTTTGTCTTTGACATAACTCAATATTTTCATCTGTCACCAAATTAAATTATGGATGTAGGATGCCATACTCATCAAATTTGTTAAGACACAAAGTTAAATAATATATAAATATTGTATAGTCATCTGCCAAGACCAGCTCAGTTGAGGAGACCCTAATCCAGCAGCGCTAGAGGAATTAAAGACACACACACATAGAAATATAGAGGTGTGAAGTGGGGAATCAGGGGTCTCACAGCCTTCAGAGCTGAGAGCCCCAAACAGAGATTTACCCACATGTTTATTAACAGCAGACCAGTCATTAGCATCGTTTCTATAGATATTAAATTAACTAAAAGAATCCCTTATGGGAAATGAAGGAATGGGCCGAATTAATTGCAGCAGGAACACACCCTTAAGACACAGATCGCTCATGCTTTTGTTTGTGGCTTAAGAATGCCTTCAAGTGGTTTTCCGCCCTGGGCGGGGCAGTTGTTCCTTGCCTTCATTCCCGTAAACCCACAACCTTCCAACTTGGGCGTTAGGGCCATTAAGAACATGTCATAGTGCTGCAGAGATTTCGTTTATGGCCAGTTTGGGGGGCTTGCTCCCAAAAGTCATCTTATATATACATTACATATGTTGGGAAAACACAGATAACCACAGACTACCAGAAGATTATCAAAATTTTAATGCCTTTAAAGTTGCAGAAGAGGCATTATAAAGGAAGTACGTGGTTAAGAACATGGTCTTTGGGAAGCAGATTACTTGAGTTCAAATTCCTCTTCTGCATTCACTACCTTAATGACTCAACAAGTTGGTACACCATTTTGTGTCTCCGTTTCATCCTCCATAAAATTAAGATTATATTAGTGCCTGTTTAATATCTAATAAAATTTAATGTACCAAAATTTGTTAGAATGGAGCCTGGTATATTTAACATTTTGTATCCCATATTAACTACAAATATCATTAAGAAGGCTCTGCTTTTTACATGAGGACTTCATGAGTTTGCATGGTATGGAAGGGCTGTGCAACTACTCATATTCTTGGCTAAAAAGTGACCCTTCTTTCCAGTAATGTGGTTATATACTATGAAACCAAATATACACTCTTGACCTCTGTGAATTCCTGGGCTTCCTTGCCTTCCATATGAAATGGGCTGCATCAGTCTTCACTGTTAATTAAGTAATAGATAACACAGCCTGAACACCTTACATTTTTATTGTAAGAGCCTATGTTATCACCCTGCTGTTATGATGGAAGTTTAGACAAATGCCTTCAGGTTCCCTTAGAACTCATCAACACAATGCCAAGACTGTGAACTAAAACTCATATTTATAAATTAGGTTTTTAAGTAGCATGGTGTTTTTAATGGACTCCATGTGGCTTTTGAGAGAGCACTGACTTGTAGCATAACTTTGATTTTTAGCTTAAACAAAACTCAGTAGGATATGCAATTTAAAAATCTTCTGTGATGTCAAGTTGATTTACACAGGATTTTCTAGTACATTAAGATTCTGTTATACAACTGTACTTATCTTTGAATTAAAGGTACAGTTATGGTTTCATCATTAATTTTGTATACTCACGCATTTGATAAATAAATCAAGAGCTTGTCTGGGAAAGTTTCAGGTAATATATTTCAGCCTCTTAATTGCTTCTTTCTTATTTTGTAGAACTCCACAAGAACAACTTTTTAATCTGCTACCAGATACATTCCCACATCCATGTGAAACCACTGGTGATGTACAGTGTTCTCAAAATGAAAATGATGAAGATAGTGAAGGTTAGTTCATACTTGATTAGATATTTTTAAAATGTATTATTTCAAATTATATACAATAAGCATTAATCAGAATCTGCTTTTGGTTTTCTTTAATATATTATTCTCAGTTGTACCATGTAATCTTTTATCTTTAGATTAAAATCATGTAGACTCACTTCTTTCCCTTTCCCTGGATATACTTTGCCTTGATTTAGATGGTTTCATTTAAAAATGGAATGCTCATAAATGTGTATTTCACTTGAACTGGGAAAATTGGCGGTATCTGTATTTTTGTGTAGATATACGTGAGAACACTCTTCTTTTTTGGTGGCTATCTTATTTGAAGAAATTGTAAAGTAAGATATATTCTTTGATGATATTATTTGTGAATCTTATTTCCTAGGTGAGGAGACCAAAGTACAACACACAGCTCTTTTATTGCCAGTAGAAACATTAAACATAGAGAGACCTGAACCATCTCTAAAAATAGTCGAACTGGATGATGTAAGTGCATAAATGCATAATGACCATTCATGCTTTTTAGCAGGGAATTCGTAATGTATAGTTACATCTGCATATTATTTTCAATAAGATTTCTCAAATAACTAATATAGCTTGATAGGAAATTTACAGGTGTTTGAGTTCAAATGTGCTTATGAGAATAAAACAATATTATTCTGAATGTAAAGAGTAAATTTGTGAGCTAAACTGGTGTTGTCACTTTTTTTGAATGAATGTGGTATGGGAGTTAAGAAGACATTACACTATTTTAACTTATATAAATGTAGTGTGATATTTTGTTAGTTTAGTTCTATATGTTTTCAGGTTTTTTAAACAAATATCAGTCTCATTACATGGTACCTATTAAAATATAAGTGTAAATTTAGTTTCTTGAATGTCATTTAATATTATTTTCTGTTTAAAGGTAGAAATAGTGTTTAAGACTTAAGAAGTTCAGTAAAATAACTTGAACATGACTTGACCATATATATAGAAGACACCAATAGAATCAACTAGAGCTAGGACCCAGTCAGAGTTAGAGCTCTGGACTGAAGGTTTAGGGTATGATACACTCAGCACATTTCTGACTTTCTAGTAATATAGTAGTTGAATGTGCCACTTGTCCTAGATATTTCTCTTACTGTGGTTGTTACAGAAAATGACTAGAACAGAGAACTTACCTCTTTTAAATACTGCTTTCTTCCTTTCTTAGGTTGAAAGCTTCTGCTGTTTTTGTTCTTTGTGTTTTTTGGCTAGCAACATTTTTATTTCTCCTCTGGATAAATTTGAGAGACTGGACAAAAACACACACACTACATACATGTGGGTATGCCATTCATTACATTGTTGATACACAGAGTAAGTTTATGATGAGCCAGTCAGAGAACTGAAAACCTCCTAGTCACTAATCCACTTGGCAGATAATAGTTACATATTTAAATAGAAGTTATTATTGTTGGGTTGGGGTATTACAATAGTGATAAAGTAATTGACATATCAACCAAATGTTAGTTGAATTTGTTTAGTTCTCCTGGAACTTATGTGTTATAAAATATAATTAGAGCTCTCATAACATCATTTGTTGGAAAAACATACTCTCAATATCACCCATAAGTAAGTTGGTTAATGTGTAATAAATTTTTGTGAACTTACTTATATAACATTAATTTAATAAGACTTATGAAGAGGAATTTGAAGAACCAGAAAATATTGTGCCTTACAAAGTTGAATTAGCTGATGCAGACAGTCAACCAAGGTAAAGTCTTTCTAATTAACTTTGTGTGCATATTGAGCCCCTTCCTGACACACACACAAAATCAACTGTCTCTTTAAATGTGAAATTTGTGGTGTCAAAAAACATGTGACATTAATGTTAGAGTATATTTTACTTAACCCATGCTTAAATTTGTATACAATATTGCTAATATTTAATAACATTTAGCAATTAGAAAACTGTCTAAGTGATAGGCTTGTACTCTTAATATTTGGATTATTAAATAAATTCTTCTGAACTTAAGGGTTGTTATCCTCTGAAATGGTTGATTAACTTTGATATATTTCATATGAACTTTGTTCTTTTCTCCAAAGATACTCTGGTTTTTCTTCAGTTTTCTATGAACCCTAAATAAAATGTTTTATAAATGATTAGACTGAGAGACTAAAAGAGCTCCTGTACTATAAATTACTTCGTAGGTAGATTTTAATGTATAATTAAGTAAATGAAGTGTAATGGTTCACTTTGTAATTGTGTTGGAGAATTTTCTCATTTCCAAATGAAAAATAGTATCTAACTGTATCTGTTAGTGATATTAAAACAGTCCTTTTTTGTTGTTGAAACTGTAGGATTTGTAAACGGTGGAATGAAATTCCTGTCACATAACCCCTCTACTGATTCTTTATTCAGATCAACTTAGGCCCCTGTCAGTATTTTGCAATAGCTATGGGCCTGAGTGATTCCCCTGAACAGAAAAAGCCAGTGTTTAGACACATAGAACCAGCGATCCAGCAGCAAATGTGCTTTTGGAAGTAGAGTTTTTGCAGGAGAAAACTTTCTGTTCAGCAGATAAGAGGTTTATATCCCCCACTCAATCTCCAAGGAAATGAATGGCATTTCTGTTCTCTAATTTGATTCTTTCATATATCTTATCACATGTTTTGCTTTGACTCCTGTGTAAGGTGTTAGAGAAGGCAGAGAAAGTTATTCATCATGGTTTGGCAGTAGTTTTATAGCTTTGGTTTGGAGGTGCCCATAGAACTACATTAATTTTATCTCTCTCCTGGGGATCATGAGTGACACAAGAAGGCCTTTTTGGTTGAGTATAATCCATAAGTTTTATGATGCTGTTCTGTAGAGCTTATATAAATATTAGGTATTATTAAATATATTATTCAGTTCATAAGGAATGTTATTTAAATTATAACTATGCATATAGATAGTAATCATTATTCAAATTTGAAACCTAAATATCACATGCTGCTTTTAAACTCATATCTCATTGATGAACAAATAATATGTTTATCTAGTAGTAAAGCCTTGATTTCATCAGATTTTAATGAGCTTGAAAGATAACACTCCCTTTTTAGAAGAAAATGTAAGAAATCAAACTTATTTCGAGATATTTTGGAAAACAAACTTTCAACTGAAATTTTGCAGTTAAATCAGATTTGGGCCAGTTGCCTATCCCTCTTAAATCCATAATGTTATTAGTTACTTACAGTTGAGAATGTATTCACAGTAAGGTTAAAATAAATATTAAATTAATGTAAATAACCCTGTTCTATTAAGGTTTTACTCTATTTGTTTTAATGACCTGGGACTTTAAAAATTTTCTTTTTGAAACATTTTTTCAATTCTATTATTTTGTTTGTCCCTACATGTGAAAGTTGTGCTTTTCATGATTATCAGAAGAATAGCTTTCTATATGAAAATGACATCCATCAACAACATGTTTTCCATAAGGGAAAGAGAGACTTCTTAAATCTTTGTCTGAGAAACAGCTCTACTTATTACAAAGATAATTCAAAAGGTAACATTTTTCTTGTTGCTAAATATTATTAACAGTGCGTGTTGGTAATTTACTATTGCAGTCTATAAAAGCTTTGGTATGCTGCTCATTTTGAAACCAAAAAAAGCTCAGTACTAAAATGAAAATTGGTTGAAAATATAATTTTCTAGTAAATATGCAATTTAGTCAATGGACAACAGTGTTTGTATGTGTAAGAAAAATCAGCCACTATAGGGTACTCTAAAAGTTATTATAGACTCAGCTAGCATTTCAAAGATTACATAGAAGGCCTTTTAGTGACAAAAGTCTGACTGGCACCCTCTTGCCCTCACTTGCACTAAATATTTTCCGGAAATGGGCCGGGCGCGGTGGCTTATGCCTGTAATCCCAGCACTTTGGGAGGCCGAGGCAGGTGGATCACGAGGTCAGGAGATCGAGACCATCCTGGCTAACACGG